GGGTGGGTAGGTGGATAAGGAATGGCTGGCTGGTTTGTAGTGATGCTTTCCTTTAATTATAGCACTCAAGTGGCAGAGGCAGGCAGATTTCTGTGAGTTCAAGGCCAGCCTGTTTGCAGAGCGAGTGCCAGCATACCTCAGCTGTTATACAGAGAGACCCTGTCTTGAAAAACCAAGAAAAAACAAATGAATGGTCTAAGTAAAGTTGGTAGTATATGTGACTGTAGGTAAAGTGTTTTTTGGAGAAGGACTTGTCTTCCTTTGATTTGATTGATCCAGAAGGTAGAGGAGAAACCATACCACCAGTTACCAAACCTGCTTGAGCTTGCTGCAATGGTTTGGGTCGTCCTGTTCTCAGAGGTAGAGGGAAGGTCTTTTCCAGGAGCAGGTTATCCCAGTGATTGCCAGTATGGTGTGTGTGTGGAGTTGAGGATGTTGTGAGTGAGTGATGTGTCCTCCCCACCTTTGCTGTCTTCCCATCCGGTCCCAGGTGAAGAGCATCCCTTAAGATTTCAGATGTCTTGCTCTGCCTCCGTCTTATTCTCTTGAGGTAGACTGGCAGCCAGGAAGCCATCATCCCTGCCAGGGTTATAGGCACATGGCTGAACCCAGCTTTTTGCATGTGTACTGGGGGTTCAGACTCATGTCCTGAGCTGAACCATCTCTCCAGCCGGAGCTTCATCTTTAATGTCTCACGTCTGGGCCCACTTTCTTCAGAGAACTCCAGCTGGGGCCTCTCCGCCCTCTGCAGCACTATCCCATTCTTTTGTTTCCTCTCTTAGAAAGCTGCCCAGGGAAGTTGATTGAGATCCACGGGAAGGCAGGCTTGTTCCTAGAAGGCCAGATCCACCCAGAGCTGGAGGGAGTCGAGATTGTCATCAGTGAGAAGGGGGCAAGTTCACCCTTGATCACTGTCTTCACTGATGATAAGGGTGCCTACAGGTATGTCCCCAAGGTGGGAGCTGGCCCCAGCAGGGAACTTCCTGAGGCAGGGGGGGCTCAGGCTCCCTCTGAAGCTACAAACAGCAATTTGTAGTGTTTGGCTCTTTCCTGCAGTGTTGGCCCACTGCACAGTGACCTGGAGTAGACTGTGACCTCACAGAAGGAGGGCTACGTGCTGACCGCTGTGGAAGGAACTGTGGGAGACTTCAAGGCTTATGCCTTGGCTGGCGTGAGCTTCGAGGTAACATGTTTCACATTGAGGGTACTGCACACAATGATAAACTACACAGAAAGTGCAGTCAGTTTTACATATAGTTACACACATTGCAGACACCACCACTGTCTAACTAGCAAGTTTCCTGTGCCCATGGTCCCTCACGCTGATGTTGATGGCACCTGTATCTATCAGGGAGTTTCCATCTTTCAGAGCTTTGTATGAATGGAATTGTGTACCATGCCTCCCTCCCTTCACTTGGGTACACTGTGGAGAGATGGGGACTTTCACATGGTTGTGCATGTTTCAGCTATCGCTTTTTTTTTTTGGAGGCAGGGTCTCTTTAGCCGCTAAGCCTCCAACTCCCTGTCTTTGACGTCTTTCTTAATCCTCCTGTCTTTGTCTCCCAGGTTCTGAGATAATAGGTATGCATATCCACACCCGGTATATTTGGTGCTGGGGATGGGTCCAGAGCTTTGTGCGTGCTGGGCAGGCGTTCAACCAATCAAGCTATCTCCCTAGGTCCCAGGCTGTCATTCTCATTTGCTCTGTGCTCCCATGGTGGTGCCTGGTGTCTGTCTCTTGTCCAGCACGGGCTGTGAAATAGTTGAGTGTTGCTCTGTGTAAAGCACACCACACACAGCTGAAGCACCATTGCTGAGCATGTTTTAGACCTAAGTGAGGAGGTGCAGATGTGCAAGAGCTGCATACGCCATGGATGACATCTGTGGTTTATAAGAAACTCCTACAGTGGCTGAGAACACAGCCACCTCCAAGGAAAAGAGAGTAACACAGATAGATGGGCACTCTTGGAAGTAATTCAATGACTAGGAAGGTGGAAGACACTCTGCTTAGGCAGCCACTGAGGAGATGCCAGGGAGGTTACCACAGAAACACTCTTTGGGGGATGGACTTTTAATAAATTAAGTCCAAATTATTTATTTATGGGGTGAACCTGTTTTGCCATGAAGAGATAATTCGTGGTACTGCTGTGACAAAATGCCTGATACAGGTAGTTGAGGAAGAAAGGATTTGGTTAGCTTCATGGTTTGAGGTCCAGTCCATGTTGGGGAGACATGGTGGCAGCAGGAGCAGGTGGCCACATCTCATATATCAGGAAAGGTAGCAAGTCCCATCCTCCATCATGGCCCACTCCCTCCAGCAAGGCTCCTCCCAAAGTTTGCACATCCTTGTAAATATCACCTGCCAGTTCGGGACCAAGTGTTTAGACGTATGAGCCTGTGATGACACTTGACATCCAGACCGTGACAGCAATTCCTAGTGGTTGATTGCTCAAGAAAAGATGTACATGTTGGGGGACATTTTGATCGTCTCCCCGTGTGACAGAAGTGTGCAGCTGGCCTACTCGCTGTGGACTGCCGGACTATGGTCAGTTAAACAGCAGCAAGGTGGGGCTGACGAGAACTGGCTGAACTGTTGAGAGCAAGCTGCAGAGCTTCATGCACAGCCTGCCGTTTCTGTCTCCTCCCCAATACCTACCAGCCCCTTAGTATTGTGAGTATAGGCCATAGAAAGAGTTCTGGAAGCTTCCACGGCATCTCAGCACTACTTGTGGGACTTTGGGAGGAAGAGGAAGAGTCCCTGTCTTCAGGAGTAATGATAAACACCACTCCCTGCTCACATGTAGAGGACTACCTTTGTGGTTATTAAGTTTGACCTTGTCCTGTTGTTACTCTCTCCCCAGATAAAAGCTGAGGATGATCAGCCCCTCCCTGGGGTCCTCTTATCCCTCAGTGGAGGTGTGTTTCGTTCTAACCTCCTGACCCAGGACAACGGCGTTCTGACATTCTCAAACTTGGTAAGGCTGTGGTCCACAGCCGAGGTGTGTAGCTCACAGCATGAGGACAGGTGTCAGTGTGGAATGGTTAGGGCTCTCACTGCTGATGGCCCATGTGGTCTAGGACATGCTCTTGTCATCCAGGCAGTATAATCAACCTCCTCCCTAGGCAGCCCTTTGTTCTCCACAGTGGCGTTTGCCTATTTCTTCTTCTAAGTCCACTCCGTGTGTAAAGGGGGTGAAGTACCAAGTTTTCTTTTGAGGTGGAGCCCAGGGCCCTGGCCAGTGGGGTTCATGAAGTGCTCATGCATTGACTTCTCTTCCGGAGTGAGGTGGAATTATCACGTGCTTGCTGCAAGGCACCTAGAAGGTCACAGGCTGTGCGTGCCCAGCCTCTGCTCACACCCTGCTACTTTTTGCCAAGTCATTTCCGGCTGTTTATGTCAATTCTCATTCTTTATAAAGTTCAGGTGTGGCTTCTGCTTTATTGAGGTGCTAAAGGTGGTAGCAACAGCTCCCTGTCCATGCCATGCAGGAACAGGAGGCTCTGATGCTCTGCCCTCATTGTGACTTGAAGCCATTTGCATGTGGCAGCCATCTTGACTGTGACTGTCTCTTGGCAGAGCCCTGGCCAGTACTACTTCAAACCCATGATGAAGGAGTTCCGCTTTGAGCCCTCCTCACAGATGATAGAAGTACAGGAGGGGCAGAACCTGAGGATCACCATCACTGGCTTCCGGACTGCCTACAGGTGCGTGCCCTCCCCAGGCAGGCTGCAAGGGGGCACCCCCAGACTTCACGTTGACTGAATTTGGGGAGGAATTTGAGATAAGGTAGAGGCCAGAGAGGTGGCTCTGCTCTCCCTTGAGAGGCTCAGATGACTGCTGCCCCCCTTATGTGTCTCCCCTCCATATGTCGCTGCTGTCCACTCACCAGCATACTTTTTGAAAAAC